TGGGGGTTTAGGGTTTAGGGTTTAGGGTTTAGGGTTTAGGGTCTAGGGTGTAGGGTTTAGGGTTTAGGGTTTAGGGCTTAGGGTTTAGGGTTTAGCGTCTAGGGTCCAGGGTCTAGGGAGGGTTTAGGGTTTAGGGTTTCTTGGTGTAAGGTTCAAAGGCAAAAGGCCACGAGGCCAAGGACCAAAAGCAAGCATTTTCGATTCTGCGGCTTGATTCGGGTTTTGGGTTTGGGTTTGGAGTTCTCAGGGCTTCGGGAAACTGTACCCTAAACCCTAAACCCCAAACCCCGAACCCTAAACCCTAAACCCCTAAACCCTAAACCCCTAAACCCTAAACCCTAAACCCTAAACCCTAAACCCCTAAACCCCTAAACCCTTACTAAACCCCAAACCCCTAAACCCCAAACCCTAGCCCCCAAACCCTAACCCCCCAACCCTAAACCCTAAACCCCCGAAACCTTTTGGAAGCTGTGGCTCCTGGACGAGATATACGGCGTCTTGGCCGTGGCGGACTTGAGGCCGCCTTGGGTTGGGGGGGGGGTTTAGGGGTTAGAGTTTAGGGCTTAGGGTATAGAGTTTAGGATTTAGGGTTTAGGCTTTAGGGGCTTAGGGGGCTTAGGGGGCTTAGGGGGCTTAGGGGTTTTGGGGTTCAGGGGTTTAGGGTTTAGGGGTTTAGTGAAGGGCTTCGTAGGATTTGGGGCTTGGGGCCTTGGGGTTAGGGTTTGGGTTTTAGTCGGGTTTTGGGCTTTGGGCTGTAGTTTTGGGTTACAAGGGCCTAGTAGGGCTTGGTAGAAGCGTCGTCGGGGTTCGGGAGGCAGTTGTAGGGTTTAGGGTACCTTAAACCCTAAACCCTAAACCCTAAACCCCTAAACCCTAAACCCCTAAACCCCTACACCCTAAACCCTAAACCCTAAACCCTAGGGTCCCGGTTGATGGAGATGCGTCACATCTATCGTGAAGCAGAGAGTCGTCTTGGAACCAATGCAGTGACTGCAGCTAAGGTATAGAAGGTGGGTTTAGGGTTTAGGGTTTAGGGTTTAGGGTTTAGGGTTTAGGGTTTAGGGTTTAGGGTTTAGGGTTTAGGGTTTAGGGTTTAGGGTTTAGGGTTTAGGGTTTAGGGTTTAGGGTTTAGGGTTTCTTGGTGTAAGGTTCAACATGGTTTCTGTCATGACATGCTGTCATATGAAGTAGGGTTTATATTTCTTAAAAGGGACACCGAGTATATACACTCGCAAATGTTAAAAAGGAACCTTATATACACTCACCAAAAACAGCAACATAACCCTGCTTCATGTGGCTTTTGAACATCCCTTTTGAACCCGAAACCCTAAATTTAAGGCTGGAACCATGGGCCCTTAGTATGGTCCCTTACCCTTGTTTACAGGGGTTTAAAGGGATCCGAAATATGGGACCTTACTATGCATAGTGCATATAAGGGTTGTATAACAGGGGACCCAAAGTAAGGGCCCTACTATCCCAAAACCCCCTAAACCCCCTTAACTCCCTAAACCCCCTGAACGCCCTAAACCCCCGAAATACACCACCTGAAGCCCCGAAAGCCCCTAAACCCTGAAACCCCTAAACGCCCTAAACGCCCTAAACGCCCTAACCGCCCTAAACCCCCTAAACCCTAAACCCTAAACCCCAACCCGAAACCCGAAACCCTAAACCCTAAACCCTAAACCCTAAACCCTAAACCCTAAACCCTAAACCCTAAACCCTAAACCCTAACCCTAAACCCTAAACCCCCTAAACCCCTAAACCCCTAAACCCCCTAAACCCCTAAACCCTCCCAGCATACACCAGCAAGTGGCCCATGAGGCGGTCCGCGAACTTGCAGGCGCTACCCTCGCTCCTTTGGGGTTTAGGGTTTAGGGTTTAGGGTTTAGGGTTTAGGGTTTAGGGTTTAGGGTTTAGGGGTTTAGGGTTTAGGGTTTAGGGTTTAGGGTTCAGGGTTCAGGGGTTTAGGGTTTCGGGTTTGGGGTTGTCGCTTCTATCTTTGACCACTACATGGGGTGCCTGGCAGGGGGTGACAGGGCAACCACCCTCCGTTCCTGACCTGAAGCCCCTAAAACCTAAACCCCCCTGAACCCCCTAAACCCCCAAGACCCCCTAAACCCCGAAACCCCCGAAACCCCCTAAACCCCCTAAACCCCCTAAACCCCCTGAACCCCCTAAACCCCCTGAACCCCCTAAACCCCCTGAACCCCCTAAACCCCCCTAAACCCCTGAACTCCCTGAACTGAACCCCCTAAACCCCCTAGACCCCCTAAACCTCCCAAACCGCCTACACCCCCTGAACCCCCTAAACCCTATACCCCAAACCCTGGTCAGAGCCCCAAACCCTAAACCCTAAACCCTAGCCCCACACCCTAAACCCTAAACCCTAGCCCCAAACCCTAAACCCTAAACCCCAAACCCTGGCAGACACCCTAAACCCCAAACCCTGGCCAGAACTGTAGGGTTCGAGGCCATTGCTGGTGATCAAGGCATGGCTCTTGTAGGCCACGAGGGTGTCGTGAGTCGTGCTCCACATGCTCATGGTGCCTCACAGGGGTTAGGGTTTAGGGTTCAGGTGTAGGGTTTAGGGTTTAGGTTTAGGGTTCAGGGTTCAGGGTTCAGGGTTCAGGGTTCAGGGTTCAGGGTTTAGGGTTTAGGGTTTAGGGTTTAGGGTTCAGGGTTCAGGGTTTAGGGTTTAGAGGGTCTCCGACTTAGAGGGTCCAGGGTTTTGGGGCTGAAAGGCTTAGGTGGAGGTGCCAGCATGGCGCTCAAGGAAAAGGACTCCACGCGCCCGACAAAACCTCAAATTCGTACGTAGGGTTTAGGGTTTAGGGTTTCGGGTTTAGGGTTTGGGGTTTGGGGTTTGGGGTTTGGGGTTTAGGGTTTGGGGTTTGGGGTTTAGGGTAGTTTAGGGTCTACCCCACATTCAGACATTGTACCTTAACTTAGGGCTTACGGCTGGAGAATCGTCTCTATAGTGAAGGCAAATTCCTGTAAGTCTTCCAGCGGGCCTTGGTGGACTGCCGCTGTCGCCAGCTGCACATGCAGCATCCAGGAAGACATCATCAAAGTACGTGCCATCATTTCTTCCGCTGGCACAGGTTCGTTCAACGAGTAGAGTCGGTACGAAATCGCGGCTGGGGGTTGAGCCACTCACTGCCGCAGCCAAACGACAATTTCATCTGCATTGTGAAGTTCAACGAGGCAAAGGCCGCCTACACCTTGGAACCACAAACCCTAAACCCTAAACCCTAAACCCTAAACCCTGAACCCTGAACCCTGAACCCTAAACCCTAAACCCTAATCAACAGCATCTACACCAGTGCCCCCGCAATCTGACATCAAACGCCGATGATATGCAGCCCTCCCAGCCCTAAGCCCTAAACCCCTAAAATGGGGGAACCCAAGACGCGCCCCAAACTAGAATTGGAACGACATCATCTTTCATCTCAGGATTTAGGGTTTAGGGTTTAGGGCTTAGGGTTTAGGGTTTAGGGTTCAGGGTTTTGGGTTTAGGTCCGCCGACCCTGGCGGCGTGTTGGAACCCTCCCCCTCCCCCTCCCCTCCCTACCCCAAAAACCTTAAAGGGGGGGGGGGGGGGGGGGGGGGGGGGGGGGGGTCGGTGCACAATTATTTTCATGGAGGACCGCGCCATCCGCACGACGTAAACGCATCGACCATAGGCGGTTCAGCACCAGGGGGTCGGGGCTCCTTTGGCAAGACCCCCCACCCCCCCACACCCCACCCCCCCCTTAGGGACCACGCACATCGTGCCGGATTTCGCAGGACACGCAAAAAAAACTGCAACCTCCTCTTACACCCCCAAAAACTTTAAAACGCGGGGGGGGGGGGGGGGTCGGTGGCGGACCGCGCCACCCGCACGACGTAAACGCATCAACCAGAAGCGGTTCAGCACAGGGGGTTGCCTATGTTGCAACCTTGCGCCAACTCCAACAGTTCGAAGCCTCTACCCCCCCATTCCCACAACACGTCCTCCAACCCCCGAACCCTGGTTTAGGTGTAGAGTTTAGCGTTTAGGCTTTAGGGTAACTACCATTTCCGGCTTTGAGGGTTGAGAGGTTTCGGGCCTCTTGGGTCGGCGGCCTGAGCCGGAGGCTCCTAGTTTTTTTATGTTTAGGGCCTACAAGAATAACCACCTTCGAGCCTAAGGTCTCAAACCCTAAACGGCAAAGCCCTCAACCCAAAGGCCTGATCGTAGACCTCAACCCTAAACCGAGCTAACGCAACAGAGATCTGTCGCAGAAAGGATTTAGGGCTTCAGGGTTGAAATCAGGGCTTATGGGTCGCGCTTTAGGGAGTTTAGGATTTCGGGTGTTTAAGTTTGGGGCTTCGGGAATTTAGGTTTCAGAGAGTCTAGAGCGTCAAGGCCTCTGAATGACGCCATGCCTGTTGAAAGAGAGGAGCCCACATCCGGGCTGCGTCTGAGCCCTAGCTCATCAACACGGGCCTTTCGAGTCTCGCGTCGCCAAGTGTGCAAGGTTGCAAGGTACGTCGGCAGCTGTGTGCACTTAGGCCAGTTCTGCCTCCAATTCCCGTGCCTTTAAGTAAGGCGAGCAGTGCCGTTCACTGAGACGGGCAAAAGTGCCCTGCCATAAGGCAGGCTTGCAGGGGGGATTGTCAGATCCATACCTGGCCCCACCGTCCCTAGAAAGTGAGGCCAAAGGTAGGACCCAGAGAAGCCCATACCCCTTACTGGAGGGGTGTATATACCCCAAAACCCTAAACCCTAATTAATAATCTTATTTGAGGGGCATTGGGCCCTCAGGGCATCTCTGGATGCCGAATTATCGAGTCACAGAGGTCATGACTCGGCCGCTGGAAAATTTAAAAGGGCTCGAACCGCTGAATCCGCCCCGCCCAAACTCCCCCAAGACACCTTCTAAACCCCAAAAGCCTCAAAATCCCCATGTAAACCCTCAGGCCCTAACACACAGTAGACTCCTCATCCTAAACCCTAAACCCTAAACCCTAAACCCTCTCTAAGGGAAGAGGACGGAGCTGTTTGCTCCCCGCAGCTGCGGCCGCTGGGTTTCGTTCTTCTCCACAGGCTCGAGGCTCCTTGGTAGCCCAGCAACCATCTTATAATAAGGGTTTGGGGTTTAGGGTTTAGGGTTTAGGGTTTGGGGTTTAGGGTTTAGGGTTTAGGGTTTAGGGTTTAGGGTTTAGGGTTTAGGGTTTAGGGTTTAGGGTTTAGGGTTTAGGGTTTAGGGTTTAGGGTTTAGGGTTTAGGTTAGGGTTTAGGGTTTAGGGTTTAGGGTTTAGGGTTTAGGGTTTAGGGTTTAGGTTTAGGGTTTAGGGTTTAGGGTTTAGGGTTTAGGGTTTAGGGAACATTGAATCAAAAAACAAGGAAACGGGTACCACTGGGCTACCAAGGCTCAGGACCTTCTCGACGCCCTCTGTCCTCGGCTTTGTCAGGTCTTGTTGAAGTTTAGGGTTTAGGGTTTGGGGTTTAGGGTTTAGGGTTTAGGGTTTAGGGTTTAGGGTTTGAGGTTTAGGGTTTGGGGTTTAGGATTTAGGGTTTAGGGTTTGGGGTTTAGGGTTTAGGGTTTAGGGTTTAGGGTTTAGGGTTTAGGGTTTAGGGTTTAGGGTTTAGGGTTTAGGGTTTAGTAGGGACAAGTTCCCTGATTCCCTACAAAGAGCCCGAAAGAAAACCCTGGCAACCGCGAAGCGCCCAGAGCTCGTCCCCACAAAAAAAGCGCTCTGCTCCCGTGAGGCCCCAAAAGTTGCTGTTTCTGTATATGGAGTTGGGGGTGACAGCTTGTCGAAATTTGGGGTTTAGGGTTTAGGGTTTAGGGTTTAGGGTTTAGGGTTTAGGGTTTAGGGATTTAGTTTGTTTAAGTTCGGGGTCTAGGCTTAGCCCCAACCCTAAAGCCTCTGAGCCAAGCAGCAAGCTGGCATTCACCAGGAGCTTTCCGGATCGCCCCGTGCCTGGCTGGTTCTTCAGGGTTTGGGGTTTAGGGTTTAGGGTTTAGGGTTTGGGGTTTAGGGTTTAGGGTTTAGGGTTTAGGGTTTAGGGTTTAGGGTTTAGGCTCTTTAAGGGCAGAACCCTTAAAGCACCCCACTTCCCCAGGTCAAGCCCCCTAAACCCTAAACCCCAAACCCCAAACCCTAAACCCTAAACCCCAAACCCTAAACCCTAAACCCTAAACCCTAAACCTCTTTGAGCACCATGGAGGCAGGGTGCCGTGGGTGTAGCACGCATCACCAGTCTTCCGGTTCGTCCATTCGCCGTGGAAGCCTGGTGCTCGAGGGGCCATCGGGCTGTAGGTTTTAGGGTTTAGGGTTTAGGGTTTAGGGTTTAGGGTTTAGGGTTTAGGGTTTAGGGTTTAGGGTTTAGGGTTTAGGGTTTAGAGTTTGCGGGTGTAGGGTTTGGGGTTTGGGGTTTAGGGTTTTGGGGTTTGGGGCTTAAGGCTTGGAACTCGCAACCCGAATGTCCTAAAAGCCCTGAACCCCTAAACCCGAAAGCCTAAAGCCCTAAGGCCATGGCTTGATGGGTTCAAGGATTGAGGGTTTAGGGTTTAGGGTTCAGGGCTTTAGGCTTTAGGGTTTAGGGTTTAGGGTTTAGGGTTCAGGGTTTAGGGTTTAGGGTTCAGGGGTGAGGGTTTAGGGTTCAGGGTTTAGGGTTGAGGGGGGGCGTTCGAGGCTTTAGGGGTGGAAGGGGTAGAGGATTTAACTGCTCAAGGCTTAGGGCTGAGGAGTCTAAAGTTAGGATGTAGGGTTTAGGATGTAGGGTTTAGGGTTTAGGGTTTAGGGTTTAGGGTTTAGGGTTTAGGGTTTAGGGTTTAGGGTTTAGGGTTTAGGGTTTAGGGTTTAGGGTTTAGGGAGCCAGGGCGAGGCCAGAGAGCAGTTTGGGAAGTTCACGACGAAGCCATTCCTGAGCTAACCGCATGGGAGGCGTAGGTTCTAGGGCTTAAGGCTTTGGGTTTAGGGTTTAGGGTTTAGGGTTTAGGGTTTAGGGTTTGGGGTTTGGGGTTTGGGGTTTAGGGTTTGGGGTTTAGGGTTTAGGGTTTAGGGTTTAAGGATTTGGGTTTAGGGGTTTCGGGGTTTAGGGGAAGTAGGCTACATGGGTTTGGGGTTTAGGGTTTAGGGTTCTGGTGGTTGGGATGAAGAGGCTCCATGTGAAAACTAAACCCGAAACCCAAAATTCTTATCAAACCCAACAAACCTCCGAATGGACAACATGTAACAAACATAAAGCCAGGTCACTGTGCATATCCAAACCATAAACCCTCAACCCTAAACCCTAAGTCCCATTAGGTTTTCCCGGCGGTTTATAAACAAGTTGATGGCGACGGAGTACCACTGGGAAGCGGCAGGTTAGGGATTAGGGGGGAGGGTTTCGGGTTCATTTAGGGTTTAGGATGTATAAGGTAATCCGAGCATCTGTTTAACTAATACCCCCACATTTAAAGAAATGTTTTTTGGCCGGAAGCCCGCCGGAAGACTACTTTCCATTAGGGTGGATTTCGTATGGGGCAAACCCACCACATTTAAAGAAATTGTTTTCGGGGGGGGTCCAAAAATCTGTCGGCAGGCTTCTTTTTGCTTGCGGAGATGCGAAGCTACAGCACCTCAGGGATCTGCAGCCTAATGTTTTTGATAGGGAATCAATGCAGGGGCATGGTCCAATTATTGCGGAACCTGCCTCCTTATTGTGGTGCGGGGGGGGGGGGGGGGGGGGACCCCCCCCCCAATTAAACAGATGCTCGGATTAGCCTACACAGAATCACCAAAAACAACCAAGCCCAAAAATCCAAACCCCAACTCGCATCGTTTAGGATTGGGGTGCAGGGGGCCCATTTATAGGTCTTAGGAGCCTGTGCACCAAGCCTTCGAACACCCAAGCGAGCAACCCCTACATGCAAAAACCAAAAACCCAAAAACCCAAAACCCCTAAACCCCTAAACCCCTAAACCCTTAAGCCCTAAACCGAAACCCCTATACCTCCTAAACCTCTGCACCTCCTAAACCCCATCCCCCAACCAATCGCCCAACAAAACTTGAGGGTTTGGGGGTTTAGCAGTTTTGGGTTTGAAGGGCTTTAGGTTGTTGAGTTAGGAGAGTTTTAGAAATTTAGGGTTTTAGAGTTTTAGGGCTTTAGGTTGTTGAGTTTTAGGGTTTTAGGGTTTAGAGTTCAGGCCACGCCACTCTTCAGTGATCTGGAAGGACGTCTTGCCCGTGATTGGGCCGGTCCAGGCTGACCACCAACCTCCGGAGTAGGGTTTCGGGTTTAGGGTTTAGGGTTGAGGGTTGAGGGTTGAGGGTTGAGGGTTGAGGGTTGAGGGTAACCTCCGTTTTGGACAGGGCCGAGGCGTTGGGGCTGAGTTGGAGGAACCTGAACCTGCAAGTTGCCCCCCCCCCCTACACTCAGCCCTGAACCCTAAACCCTAAACCCTAAACCCTAGACCCTCAACACCAAACTCAGGTGCGAGAGTCCGCCGATCAGCTTCATCTCGTGCTTCTTGCCGCCGATGGTGAGCTCGGCCTCCTCCACTAGGGTTTAGGGTTTAGGGCTTAGGGTGTAGGGTTTAGGGTTTAGGGTTTAGGGTTTAGGGTTTAGGGTTTAGGGTTTAGGGTTTAGGGTCTAGGGTTTAGGGTTTAGGGTTTAGGGCTAGGGTTTAGGGTTTCGGGTTTAGGGTTCAGGGTCTCCTTCACCGGGTACCGGAGGTTGCTGAAGACCATCTTCGTGAAGTAGTAGTCCTTGCCGAGGAGTGCTTCTCGGAGTTCGGGTTTCGGGTTTCATTAGGGTTGAGGGTTTAGGGCTAGGGGTTAGGGTGTAGGGTTTCGGGTTTAGGGTTTCGGGTTTGGGGTTTAGGGTTTAGCGTTTAGTGTTTAGGGTTTGGGGCCCAAGGTAAATCAACGGAAGTTGGCGAGAACACCAGGAAGCCCCACAACCCTGAAGGGCCTAGGGTCTAGGGTCTCGGGTCTAGGGTCTGGGGTCTGGGGTCTGGGGTCTGGGGTCTGGGGTCTGGGGTCTAGAGTTTAGGTTTGCTGCCAAGTCGTACAGTAAGCTCCTGAAAGCTGGAACATGGTTTAAGGATGATTGGAGCAGGGATTCCTTGATGTATACTTTTTGGGGTATGGGGATAAGGATGTTCAAACTTTTTGGTGTAAACCTCCAGGTCCGCCAAGGCGCATACTGCAGAACCCCAGCGACAGGTCCCTCCGGAGAAGTGTCGCAGGCGACCTCCGCACGGATTCGGGTTTATAGGGTATAGGGTATAGGGTTTAGGGTTTAGGGTTACCCCAAACCCACAAGATGTGGCCCAGAACGCCACCCTGAACCCTAAACCCTAAACCCTACACCTTAAACCCTAAACCCTAAACCCTAAACCCTAAAGCCTAAACCCTAAACCCTAAACCCTAAACCCTAAACCCTAAACCCTACAAGCCCCAAGAGAAGCCCCTGGTTGGACATCTTGTGGCGTCTTATTTCGGAACAGGAATGAACCCCAAATTCCTGAAATCCACTCCGAAACCCTAAGCCCTAAGCCCCAAGCCCTAAACCCTAAACCCTAAACCCTAAGCCCTAGACCCTAAGCCCTCCAAAAGGCCCAAAAGGCCCCTAAAGGCCCCAAAACCAGCAGAAGCCCTTGCCCGGCCTCCTCGTAGGTGATGGGGAAGAAGCCGGTGTCGTAGTTGGTGATCTTATGGAAGGCCGTCATGTGGCAGTCGAACCTGGGCGCTGCTATTTGTTTGAAAACCCCAAAATACTACTTGAAAAAAACACAAAGACCCTTCCTTATAAGGGACTATGATCTATGATTATTATTCTTCTTCTTTTTCTTTATATTTTTTTGGGGGGGGTCTTAAGCAACTAGTAGGGGGGAGGAGGGCTCAGGAGACCCTTTAACAATAACTCGAAGGCTCAGAGTTGCGTGAACCCCAAACCCTACACCAGAGTCTCCTGGCCTAAGCTCTAAGTGTTTCAACTTGAGTGCCACGCCAACCCCCTAAAACCCCCTAAAACCCCCTAAACCCCCTAAAACCCCTAAAACCCCTATACAAACCCCCTAAACCCTAAACCCTCTAAACTCCTGTAAACCCCCTAAACCCCCTTAACCCCTAAACCCCTAAACCCCTAAACCCCCTAAAACCCCTAAACCGTAAACCCCTTAAACCCCCTAAACCCCCATAAACCCCCCTAAAACCCCCTAAAACCCGCTAAAGCCCCCTAAACCCCCTGGACCCCCTAGACCCCCTGTGTGTGTACAACTATAGAGTTTGGCGTTTAGGGCCTCGCGCTCCAAAATCAAAGGTTTAGGGTTTAGGTGCAGGGTTAGGGTTTTAAGGGTTTTAAGGTTTCGGACGCAGCTGGAATCAGTCCAACTTCAAGCCGTGCAGAACGGTGCAGAACAGACAGACCTCGAAGCTCAGTAACCCTAAACCCACTCCCCCGGCCGGATCTCGGAGGTGCATCCTCAGGGTTGAGGTTTTCTGGGGCTTTAGGGTTTAGGGTTTAGGGTTTAGGGTTTAGGGTTTAGGGTTAGTCTTGTTCAATTCCAGCGCAAATCCAGAAATGCACACTAAAGCACTACATCTCAGTGCCCTAAGCCCCAATTCCTACACCAAATCCTAACCCTCAACCCTAAACCCTGGACCCGAAACCCTAAACCCTAAACCCTCAACCCTCAACCCTAAACCCTAAACCCTAAACCCTAAGCGGGGACGAGCAGCGTTGCCCAACTGCCAGAGTCGACGATCTGAACCTCTAAGAAGTAGCTGCTCAGCTGTTTCGATGGGGTCCCCTACTACCCCCCTCTATAGGGTTTAGGGTTTAGGGTTTAGGGTTTAGGGTTTAGGGTTTAGGGTTTAGGGTTTAGGGTGTAGGGTGTAGGGTTTAGGGTTTGGGGTTTAGGGTTTCTGGGGTTTAGGGTTCAGGGTTGAGGGTTGAGGGTTGAGGATTTAGGGTTTAGGCTACTCCCCCCCAGGTTCCCCCGCTTATTGACCTTAACTAGGCTTAATGCTTCAATTGCCTTAATTATGGGGAGGAACCCTGCCGGGGGAGGGGGGGGGGGGGTAGTATAGAGGGGGTGAGTCGGGGAACCCATGATATTTGGGTCTGCATGTGGGCTTGTAGAGATTCCAGGTTTTATATCTTAGGGTAGTCATACAGGGGACCCTTGTATGCCCCTCTTGTACCCCTATAAAATCCGCGGGCCCTTGCTTCAGAACCCTTTAAAGGAGGTACGGGACCAAATCAAGGGACCATATAACTACCCTTAGGCGGTAAGGAGTACACCTGAAGATTCATGGTGCTTAGTAACCCTTGCCCCTTAAACCCTAAACTCTTCAACCCTAAACCCTAAACCCTAAAACCCTCAACCCTAATGCCTAAACCCTAACCCTAAACCCCAAACCCTAAACCCTAACCCCCTATATAACCCTAAATCCTAAATCAACCCTAAACCCGAACCCTAAACCCCAAACCCTAAACCCTAAACCCACATATAACCCTAAATCCTAAACCCTAAAACCATAAACCCCAAAACCCTAAACCCTAACCCCTAGCCCTAAACCCTAAACCCTCTTCAAAAAGTACACCCAGGAGCCACGTCGCTGCCGGGCGAGCCCAGGCCCTGCTCCTTGGGGCGAAGAGGGCGGCTTTGAGGAGTTCTCGGGGCTTGAGGAGTTTTCGGGGCTTGTGGGGTTTAGGGTTTAGGGTTTAGGGCTTAGGGCTTAGGGCTTAGGGGTTAGGGGTTAGGGTTTAGGGTTTAGGGTTTAGGGTTTAGGGTTTAGGGTTTAGGGTTTAGGGTTTAGGGTTTAGGGCTTAGGGCTTAGGGCTTAGGGTTTCCCCCAAATAGCAGGATTCCCTTACAGTAAGGACCCCAATAAGGTACCCAAACTTCTGGAAACTGCCGTTGCACGTTTTGCAGTTCTCAAAAGGCACTTTAGGTCCCTTGTCGCAAGCACTCTTGTTGTGGGCCGCATACTGAGAAAAACTTAGAACAAAGCAATCAGCGGAACATAAAAGAAGGCAGCTTCGGGCTAGGGGTTCAGAGCTTTACGAACCCTAAAAACCCTAAACCCTAAACCCTAAACCCCAAACCCTAAACCCTAAACCCTAAACCCTTGGGGCTCTTGCACTGCGGGACAAGGCTCGTGGCCGCCCTTGTAGGTCAGACGGTAGCATCGCCCGCAAATCTCGGACGCGTGGGCCGAAAGAGGTTCCAAAGGTAGGGCCTAGACAACCCCACCCCAAACCCTTAATAGGGCTAAACCCTGAGTACCCTAAAACCCTCAAACCCTAAAACCCTAAATCCTAAAACCCTAAACCCTAAACCCCAAACCCTAATCCTGCTAGTAAGCTTCGGGCTACTGAGGGTGTAGGGCTCACCTTGGGATGTTCCCCCTGATACTAGCAGTCATTCATAGGGATTATAACCGGGGTACGATAATCCCTATTAAGGACCGTTAGTATAACGGGGAACATCCTAAGGTTCACCCTAAAGCCTATCTAGATGTCGGGTGTCGGGGCGCAGGAAAAACTCCCGAGACATGTCGCCAACCAGGCCTCGCCGTTGCCGAAGAGCCCACGATTCACAGCGCAGTAGTTCCTCGGCAACCCTAAAACCTCAACCCTAACTAAATTACACCCCTAAATCTGACACGCCCAAACCCCGAAACCCAACCTAGCCTCTGACCTGAGCGCCGATTAGGGTTTTGGGTTTAGGTTTTTCGGTTTAGGGTTTTGGGCTTTTTTGGGTTTAGGGTTTAGGGTTTAGGGTTTAGGGTTTAGGGTTTAGGGTTTTGGGTTTAGGGTTTAGGGTTTAGGGTTTAGGGTTTAGGGTTTAGGGCTAGGGTTTAGGGTTTAGGGTATACCTACACACCCAAAACCCGGATCCCCCCCTCCACCCCCACTCTCAGCAGCTGTGGCTCTTGGACGTGATGTACGGCGTCTGGGCCGTGACAGAGTTGAGCCCGCCTTGGTTTGAGGGTTTAGGGTTTAGGGTTTAGGGTTTAGGGTTTAGGGTTTAGGGTTTAGGGTTTAGGGTTTAGGGTTTAGGGTTTAGGGCCTAGGGCCTAGGGTTTAGGGTTTAGGGTTAGGTTTTGGGTGTAGGGACCAGGTTTAGTTTAGGGTTTTGCGTGGCTGAATGTGCGACATCTGTAGTGAAGCGGCAAGTGGCTTCACACCCACCACGGTCACTACAGCCAAGGTATAGAAGATTGATTGTCTTGATGTCTGCTGCTGTGGCATGCTGCCATATGGAGATTGAACATCTCCCTCTGCCTCTGCTAGAATAACCCCTAAGCCCTAAACCTCTAAAGCCCTCAACCCTAGACTCCCAAACCCCTAAACCCCGAAAACCCTAAACCCTGAAACCCTATACCCCTGAACCCCAAATCGTCCCAGCATGTACAAGCAAGCGGCCCATGAGGCGGTCCGCATACTTGCAGGCGCTGCCCTCGCTCCTTTGGGGTTTAGGGTTTAGGGTTTAGGGTAGGGTTTAGGGTTTAGGGTTTAGGGTTTAGGGTTTAGGGTTTAGGGTTTAGGGTTTAGGGTTTAGGGTTTAGGGTTTAGGGTTTAGGGTTTAGGGTTTAGGGTTTAGGGTTTAGGGTTTAGGGTTTAGGGTTTAGCGGTTAGGGTTTAGGGTTTAGGGTTTAGGGTTTAGGGTTTAGGGTTTAGGGTTTAGGGTTTAGGGTTTAGGGTTTAGGGTTTAGGGTTTAGGGTTTAGGGTTTAGGGTTTAGGGTTTAGGGTTTGGGTTTAAGGGGTTTTTTAGGGTTTAGGGTTTTAGGGTTTAGGGTTTAGGGTTTAGGGTTTAGGGTTTAGGGTTTAGGGTTTAGGGTTTAGGGTTTAGGGTTTAGGGTTTAGGGTTTAGGGTTTAGGGTTTAGGGTTAAGGCTCCAACCCTTGACTCTAAAACCCTGAACCCTTAACCCCAAACCCTAAACCCCAAACCCTAAACCCCAAACCCCAAACCCTAAACCAACCCCGAAGCCTCGATGGGCCTTTCGGATGTGGGGTCTTGGGCGGGTCGTGGGGCCTGGGCTTGGGGCTTTCAGGTTCAGGGTGTAGAGTTTAGGGGGGCTTGGGTTGAGGTTTTAGGGTTTAGGGTTTGGGCCGTTTGGGGGTTAGGGCTTGGGCTTTAGGGCTTAGGGCTTCGAGACATGGCTCTTGTAGGCCACGAGGGTGTCGTGAGTCTGGCTCCACATGCTCATGGTGCCTCACAGCGGGCTTCGGGTTTAGGGCTTTAGGGATAAGGGCTTGTGGTTTAGGGTTTAGGGCCCAGGGTTTAGGGCTTAGGGCTTAGGGTTTAGGGTTCCATGCAATAGTCACATGATAGTCGCAGAAACCAGATAGGACTTCATTGTGGTCAGCTCTATATGTTTGGGCAGTACTACAACAAGGCTCAATCCCAAAAACCCTAAACCCGCATCCCGGACCGTTAGTCACAGAACTGATAACCGCAAACCCTGCAAGCCCTCAAGTCCTCAAACCCAATCCCCTAAACCCTAAACCCCTCCCCCCCCCTCATCGATGCCGGCTGAGACGTTCAGGCAAAGCGGCGAGCTATACAAACCGACGAGTCTACCTTCCCAACATTCCAATCAAGAACACTGCCTGTGAAGAGCAAGGCCTTTCCTTAAAAGGGATACTGAGCCGTCGACCGCTCTCCCTAAACCCCTGACGTGTCCAACGGGCCTTGGTGGACTGCCGCTGCCGCCAGCTGCACATGCAGCATCCAGGAAGACATCAAAGCCCGTGCCATCATCGCTTCTGCTCGGCGCAGCGGAGAATCAAGAATGGCCAGATTGCCAGCGAGTGCAGAAGGCTACGGTTTGAGCCACTGAGGAGTTTCCCATCTGACATTTCGCAGCCGCCACAGGCCTTTAAACCCTCAAAGCCCCAAACCGTGACCCCACACCCGACAACCCTAAGACTGTTTTTACTCAAGCCCAAAATCGCGAAAACCCTAAAGCCCTAAAACCCAAAAGACCCCTAAAAACCCTGCCAAAGCCCTACAACACCCTAAAGCCCCGGCACCGATCGATGGGGGCCCGGCAATGCCTCATCACGCGCGTCCCGTCGGCTGACCTGCTGTGGAGGGTCCCCTAAAACCCTAAACCCTGAACCCTAAACCCTAAAACCCTAAAACCCAAAAACCCTAAAACCCTAAAACCCTAAAACCCTAAACCCCCTAAAACCCTAAAACCCTAAAACCCTAAAACCCTAAAACCCTAAAACCCTAAAACCCTAAAACCCTAAAACCCTAAAACCCTAAAACCCTAAAATCCTAAAACCCTAAAACCCTAAAACCCTAAAACCCTAAAACCCTAAAACCCTAAAACCCTAAAACCCTAAAACCCTAAAACCCTAAAACCCTAAAACCCTAAAACACTAAAACCCTAAAACCCTAAAACCCTAAAACCCTAAAACCCTAAAACCCTAAAACCCTAAAACCCTAAAACCCTAAAACCCTAAAACCCTAAAACCCTAAAACCCTAAACCCTAAACCCTGAAACCTCCACTCTCAACCCTAAAACCCTAAACCCTAAACCCTCAACCCTCAACCCTAAACCCTGAAACCTGAAGCTTGAAGCTGCCGGGGCTCGGGATGAATCAGGTTGCAAGGTTCGGGACTCACGTGACCGGGGTTTAGGGCTTCATTTGGCTTCAGGGTTCAGGGTTCAGGGTTCAGGGTTCAGGGTTCAGGGTTTAGGGTTTAGGGTTTAGGGTTTAGGGTTTAGGGCTGCCAGGGTGCTTCTATGGTGGAACCCCTCAAAAAACTTCGGAAACTCGGCCTCTTTCAGCGCCTGCACCGCGGCCAGGCGCAGCTCCTCGTCGGCCCCTGCCTCGCGCGCGCTGCGCGCGCTTTGGTGGGTTTAGGGTTTAGGGTTTAGGGTTTAGGGCTTAGGGCTTAGGGTTTAGGGTTTAGGGGTTTAGGGGTTTAGGGGTTTAGGGGTTTAGGGGTTTAGAGGTTTAGGGGTTGAGGGTTCAGGGCTTAGGGTTTAGGGCTTGGGGTTTGGAGTTTGGGGTTTAGGGTTTAGGGTCTAGGCTTGGGGTTTAGGGGTGCGGTTTTTAGGATTTCGGGTGTGCCAAACCTTTGGCAGGACCCAGAAACTTTTGGCGCCGGAAATCGCTTGAAGATCGAAGATCAAAATCCTCAAACACTAATCCTCCATGAACCCAGAACCCTGAAGCATCCAGACCGTGAACTTATTTGGTCAGCTCCTTCAATCAGGGCTTAGGGTTTAGGGTTTAGGGGCTTCTTTTGGGTACGCTATAGCGTTAGGCCCATCCCCTTACAACGGCCCTTTGTAGGGTTTTGGCTTTAGGATTTAGGGTTTAAGGTTCAAAGAGGATTGATGATGGGGGTTATAAGGCCTACTCCACAAACTCCGACAGATGTTGCACATTTCGTCAGGTCAGGGAGACCTACAAGCTCCCCAAAGCTGTCCCGCGGAAAAGAAGACCCTACGCAAAGCTACGCACGTTCTTGCCTATGCGGCTTGCTTTCCTCGAAGCAACCCTAAGCCACAAGCCCCAAACACGAAACCCTAAACCCTAAACCCTAAACCCCAAACCCTAAACCCTAAACCCTAAACCCTAAACCCTGAACCCTAAACCCTAAACCCTAAACCCTAAACCCTAAACCCTAAACCAAATAAGAGGTTTCTACAGAGATCTGGCGCCTCGCAGGCCACCTCGCGCAGGAGCCCGCGCACGGCCTTCCAGCCTCCCCCGGCAGGCGCCCGAGGCCTTAAATTCCGGGCTTTAGGGTTTAGGGTTTAGGGTTTAGGGTTCAGGGTTCAGGGTTCAGGGTTTAGGGTTTAGGGTTTAGGGTTTAGGGTTTAGGGTTTCGGTTTTAGGGTTTCGGGTTTCGGGTTTAGGGTTCGGGTTTAGGGTTTAGGGTTTAGTGTTGCGGTGCTTTTGTGGACTGGGGGTGGGGGGACAAGTGAAGGAGGCTCAGGGCTTGGGGCTCTAATTTGGGACTTTGTGGGTTGGAGGGTTGAAGGTTTCAGGGCTTCAGGGCTTAGCATGCGCTTGCATCGCTTGGAAGATTTCGGCAAAAGGTCCGCCAAGTACACAAGAAAACACCTACGAGTTACAGCAAGGGTACCCTTCTGTGCCGCGGGTTTTACTTGTCAACCAAAAGCGCCAAATCGCCCCAATTGCACTGCCAAGAACCTCTCAACCCCTTAAACCACTGCACCCTAGCCCGATAAAGCCCGAATATAATAAGGCCTTAACAATTAGAACAGGGTTATGGGGGTTAGTATTATACATTTATATATGAGGACCGTCAGGGAATACTATTCGTATTTCTTCCGACACCTATGGCAAGCTGTGAACACCCCGGCCACTGGGCCTGGCCAGCATGTCGGGAAGGCCGGCACCAGCGTTCTCAGGGCCTGCGGAGGGTCGGTTCCAAGGTTACGGCTTCTTAAGGCTTAACTTAGCCCCAAACCCTAAACCCTAAACCCTAAACCCTAAACCCTAAACCCTAAACCCTAAACCCTAAACCCTAAACCCAAGAAAGCTCTGAGGTTGAGGATCTAGCAAGGGCCCAGGGCGATGTGCTAGGCATGCCTTCGAACCTGCATCCCAGAGAGCGCAGCCCGAATCCCTGAACCCTAATCCCTAAGCCCCATACCCTAAACCCTAAACCCTAAACCCTAAACCCTAAACCCTAAACCCTAAACCCTAATCTTCGTCCAACGACCTCCCAGGTATGGAAGGTTACCTGGGATGACCCTTAAAAACCCTTTAAATAAAATATTCTGAAAAATCTAATCCTCTGAAAATTTAAGCCCAAAAAGGGAAAATGTAAAATGTCCCAGGAGCCTACCGAGCTAAGAAGACGGGGACAGGAACCCTAAACTCGAAGGATGTCCCCTGACAGCCTTCAAGTCCTTTCAAGTTCCTGGAAATGGGTTTAGGGGTTTAGAGGTTAAACCCCAAACCCAAACCCTAAACCCTAAACCCTCATCCCTGCACTTTACGCCCTACACCCTAAACCCTAAACCCTAAACCCGAAACCCTAAACCCTAAACCCTAAGGTTTTGGGTTTAGAGGCTTCGCCTGCACTGCCGCCAGGCGCACTTCGAGCTCGGGCGCCGCGGCGGACCCTGGCTCGGCATTGGGGGGGCTGAAGCTTCGGGTTTAGGGTTGAGGGTTTAGGGTTTAGGGTTTGGGGTTTAGGGTTTAGGGTTTAGGGTTTAGGGTTTAGGGTTTAGGGTTTAGGGTTTAGGGTTAGGTTTAGGGTTTAGGGTTTAGGGTTTAGGGTTTAGGGTTTAGGGTTTAGGGTTTAGGGTTTAGGGTTTAGGGTTTAGGGTTTAGGGTTTAGGGTTTAGGGTATGGGGCTTAGGGATTAGAAGTTCAATTAGGGTTTAGGGTATAGGGTTTAGGGTTTAGGGTTTTGGGTCAGGGTTTATGGTTTAGGGTTTAGGGTTTAGGGTTTAGGGTTTAGGGTTTGGGGTTTGGGGTTTGGAGTTTGGAGTTTGGGGTTTGGGGTTTGGGGTTTGGGGTTTGGGGTTTGGGGTTTGGGGTTTGGGGTTTGGGGTTTGGGGTTTAGGGGAAAAGGTTTAGGGTCTAGGGTTTAGCTGTCATTGTGCCGTACAGAGATCTGTGTGCGTCCACATCGCCAACGCTCAGAGTGTCGTTGACTAACTCCCCTCCTTTGCCCTTCGTTTGCTGTCCATCTGTTGCAGTAACCGTCATTGATGATAGCCGCCGTCAGATGTATGTCAGCCACCACTGCTAATTCATCCACATCGCGCCCCGTCACGCAGCGCGGCACCGGATGCAGAAGCTTCCGGCTGGGAAGGGGTGGGAAAGGGGTTAAGGATTCGATATAAAGACTCAGTAGGGTTTAGGGTTTAGGGTTTCGGGTTTAGGGTTTAGGGTCTAGGGACCCTAAACCGTGTTGCTCTTGACTTGCAAACACCCGCAGGCCTCGGATGCACCTATGAGCCTGCCCCAAACCCTGAACCCTTAAACCCTAAACCCGAAACCCCAAACCCCAAACCCTAAGCCCTAAGCCCTAAACCCAAAGCCCTAAGCCCGAAACACACCGAAAGTGCTCGGAGCCCCTCGTGCAATCGTAACAGTCATAATAGTCATAATAGTCATAATAGTCATAATAGTCATAAGTCATAATAGTCATAATAGTCATAATAGTCATAATAGTCATAATAGTCATAATAGTCATAATAGTCATAATAGTCATAATAGTCATAATCGTCATAATAGTCATAATCGTCATAATAGTCATAATAGTCATCATAGTCATCATAGTCATCATAGTCATCATAGTCATAGTCATCATAGTCATAATAGCCATCATAGTCATCATAGTCATCATAGTCATAATAGTCATCATAGTCATCATAGTCATGATAGTCATAATAGTAACAATAGTAACAATAGTAACAATAGTAATAATAGTAAGAATAGTAAGAATAGTAGTCATAAAAATAATAATAATCGTCATAGAAATATGAAGGCCCACCCCCCACCTTCGGAGCTGCTCGGCTGCGCCTGCGTTTAGGGTTTGGGGTTTGGGGCTTAGGGTGTAGGGTTGAGGGTTTCGGGTTTAGGGTATAGTTTTTAGGTTTTGGGTTTAGGGTTTAGGGTTAGGATTTAGGGTTTAGGGCTTGGGGTTTCAGGGGTTCAGGGCTTGAGGGGTCACGCTTAGGCGTTTGAACTGTGACGGCTTGGAGGGTACGTCTGAGGGAATTGGGCGCAGGGGGCTGGGAGAGCCCCCTAAAC